GAGGGAGGGAGGGAGGGAGGGAGGGAGGGAGGGAGGGAAGAAAGACAGACTGTATTTGTTAATTTTCTTATTGCTGTGACGAAATCATTGACAGAAACAGATGGAGGACCTATTTGGGGTCCAGTGTGAGGGTCCACTCCAGTGTCCACTCACACCCCCATCTCATTGCCCTTTCTTACCCCTTCTGTTCGTTCAGCTCCCTTTTCTCCTCCCAACGGGTTCCTATTTACTACCATGTCCTGTCTTCTTTCTTTTTCTTTTGTGTGTGTGTGTGTGTGTGTGTGTGTGTGTGTGTGTGTCCAGATGATTTACACTGGGGTTCACAGGAGCACAGGTAAGAGATTCTAGACTATAAATAGCAGCACGGGCACCTGACCCGTGGCTATCCCGAAAATGTTTCTCTCCTCCCCCACTACACATTAACTATCTATCAATCCCCAGGGTAGGGTGGGGTCAGTTAAGTCCTGTCCTGTCAATAACAGGATGTTTTTGGACCCAGTCTTGTGTAGGTAATTACAGTGTTGGGATTTCAGGAATGCAATGGCCATTTCATGCCTGGAAGACAGCAGCTGTCACGACCCACGCCACTCTCTGGCTCCTACATCCCTTCTAGTCTCTCTTTTGTCATGGTCCCTAAACCTTGGAGGAGGTGATATAAATCTCCCATTTATCCCTGAGCATTCAACAGTCACTTATTCTTAGCGCTGTGAGCACTGCATAGGACAGAAAGAATCTTCTCTGACCGAAGCTGACACCACCAGTAATCTGTGGGGTAAACATAATTATTTAGAAGGCAATTTTACAGGCACATCCTGTCCATTTAGCAAAGCAGCAGTAGTAGGATCCTCACTAAGGCTGCCCCAGTTACAGGCGTTTGAACAGGTTTACAGGACCAGCCATGAATTCCTTCCTGTGGAGCAGGCCTCAGTTCCACTCAGGAAGTGGTTGGTCATTAGTCAACAGATGTGCTACTGTTGCACCAATGGGCACACCTTTCCTGGGTGGTCAGCAATGTTGCACACAGGGTCCTGGACTGCATATGACTGTTGAGAACAATTCTTCCCTAGCAACCTGCATAGCACATGCCTACACTAGAACTCTCCAGCAGGGAGGAAGTCTCCATCCCAGGTCCAGCTTGATCTTTCTATGGCCTGTGATCAAACATGGTGTCTTTGGTATTAGTTCTCAAAACACCAAACCAAACTACCGGACATTGGTGGCGCATGCCTTTTACCCCAACATTTGGGAGATGAAGGAGCAGAACAAACTCCATTTTGAGAAAGAACTCCATTTTAGACAGGACCTAACTAAGCGGGAGGGGTTGAATGCAGCCCAGCAAAAGTCATAAAATTCCCAAGAAACTGTCAGCCCAGTGTCCAAACAATATCTGCTTGCTTTAGACATCAAACCTTGGTCCTCTGGAAGAACAACCAGTGCCCTTAGGGTCATCTCTCCAGCCCCCAACCTACCCAGTTTGCTTTTTGTTTGTTGCCAGGACCTGGCTGTCCTGGAACTAGCTTTGTAGACCAGGCTGGCTATGAGATCACATCCTAGTGCTGGGATTAAAAGTATGTGCCACCACCATCCAGCCTAACCCACAAAGTTTCAAGGCAAAGTACTTAGATGATCTCTCTCTCTCTCTCTCTCTCTCTCTCTCTCTCTCTCTCTCTCTCTCTCTCTCGTGTGTGTGATGAGAGCTCCAAATAAACCATAATTTAAAAACTCACAGGTCAGGTGTGATAATGTACCTTTAATCCTTTAATCCCATCACTCTACAAAGAGCAGGCAGATCTCTGTGTGTTCCAAGCCAGCCTGGTCTACATAGGGAAAGTTAATGTGATGCAGTTCATTCATAACCTGGTAGCCTGAGCTGGACAACTTTTTGTTGTTGACTCTTACTTTTTTGAGGGGGACAGGATGTTGTTTTGCAGCTCATTCTGGCCTTGAAAGCATATCCTGCTGCCCTAGCCACACAGTTACTGAGATCCCAGGCCTGCATCAATATCCTTGGCTTTGTTACACTGTTCGTATGACTAAACTGTCTAGATACAAGAGAATGTGTAGCAGAGGATGGCTTTGAACTCTTGGCCTTAACCCTCCTTTACCTTCCCAGTGTTGAGTCTAAAGTTGTGAACCACCACAGCATGCTACATTAGGGATTTAGAATAGGCAGTCAGAGACAGAAAAGCAGAACAAGGGGTCACTACTTAGTTTAGATTTTTTTAATAGGGTGATGATAAAATTCTGGTTCAAGACCAGTCTGAGCAACATGAGACTTAAACAAACAGAGCAAAGCAAACTAGATATTTAACATAGTGGAATTATTAACATTAGTGCTTCTGTGTCTGGCTTATTAAGGTGTTTTCTAATGGGGCTGGAAAGATGGCTCAGCAGTTAAGAGCACTGCCTGATCTTCCAGAGGTCCTGAGTTCAAGTCCCAGCAACCACATGGTGGCTCAAAACTACCAATAATGGGATCTGATGCCTTTTTCTGTTTGATGCCCTTTTCTGTCATGCAGTCACACATGCAAATAAAGTACTCATATACATACATAAATAAA